AGCTCTATCAGCAAACAGATGTGCTGACAGCCCCAAGAGGCTATGCTTTCCACTCAATCCAAAAACTGCTTCAAATAAAGAAAGAAAGCATTAGTGTTCTAAGAAACATAAATAACCTAGGAACCCCATCGTATCCTTTCCTACTGATGTTCCTTCCCTCACTAGCCGGCCACTTTGGCTGAAAATAATGCCATAGAAAGGAAGAGTAGGGTAACCTGCAGTTCCCTTTCCTCTTCTTACTCATCAGAAAGCCCAGCTTGGTGGAAAGTGTGTACATAAAGTATGCATATAAAGAAGTGAAATAAAAACAGCTGAGTTGGTTTTGTCAGCACTTCCACTGTTCTAACAAGAACAAACTACATATGCATATATAAAGTACAAAATGTGAATTGTATAATTTATATGACTCCATATACAAGTTAAGTGCTCTAATATTTCTATTTAAATGTGGTATCGCACTGTATAAAGATGAACATTAAAATTCATGCCAATAATTTAAATTTTTAATGTTTGGGTTTGTTTGTTTGTTTGTTTAGCAGCTAAGCCCGGGCATTCATCTGAGCACAATTTATCTTTTTTTTTAAGATTTTACTTATTTATTTTTAGAGAGAGGGGAAGGGAAAGAGAAGGAGAGGGAGAGAAACATGGATGTGTGAGAGACACATACATCAGCTGCCTCTCGCAGGCCCCCAACCGGGGACCTGGCCCACAACCCAGGCGTGTGCTCTGACTGGGAATCAAACTGGCAACCCTCTGGTTTGCAGGCCTGTGCTCAATCCACTGAGCCACACCAGCCAGGGCTAATGTTCCTATACTGACATTAAATGGCAAATAAAAACACCATATCAAGTGAAGAGAGAACATGAGAGAAAGAAGAAAGCTTTGTCCTCTGAGATCTGTAATGACCTTTCTCCCCTGCTTTTTGTACAAGGAGCCCCACAGCTGCGTTCTGCTCTGGGACTCACAAGTGACGCCACTGGTGCTGGTCTGAGGGCTTTAGGTCATGTCTACGGCACTGACAAAATAGTTCTCACCCCAGGCCTTTTCCCAGTGTGACTTCTCTGGGCCCTGCCCTGGGCTTCCATTAGGACCCATGAATATTAGCTGCTCCTTTGGTAAAGCAAACAAATGAAAAGTCTCCCAAACACAGCTCTAAGCGGATGGGAAAATGGAGGTAAAATGACGTGGTAAAAGGCTTATCCAAAGTCACAGGGCATGCCATGGATAGAGGCATAAGCCAACTCTCATCTTGCCTTTAGAGCCAATGCCATGGCCTGTCTGCACCCACCTCCACTGGCATTTGAGTCTCAAACACCATTTGAAAATGCCAACAAAGTCATTATGTGTTGTAACCTTTTGATCACACCCCAGCTGGGGCCACCACAGCCCCATAGGAACAGATGTAGAGCATAAGGCTCTGCCCTTCAAGAGGTTCTGCACAGAACATTCCGAGGCCCCAGGGGAGTCCTGGTTTGTTCAAGGTCAAGAGCAGTTGATCAACAGGCCAATATATGCTTCCTCTGCAGCCTTGGTAAGAATTGGATTCCTATATCTCCCTAGGCAAGTCAGAAATATCCTTTCTAATCATTGTAGCAAAGTCATTAGGAATTCTTAACCAACAAGGTGCTTCGAATCTCTATTCTTGATTTTCTTACGGAATAAAATATGCAAAATCAAGTCTAGGCATCTTGTACCACTGGCCAGATCCTTACTAATCAGAAGAACCCCAATCCAGAAAAGACTACAACAACCATGTGCACTTTGCAAATTGCCTGCCCACCCTTCCTGTCTTCCCTTGAAGTCATCCAAGTGGATTTTTTAGACTAACATCTCTTTGCACATTCTAGATGCATCCTGGCTATTGTCTTGGAGCCTTCCATGCAGAGTACGAGGGTCCACTGAACCTAGGTTTCCGCCCGATGCCTTATAACAGCCTTGTTAGAGCTAAGATGCCCTTAGCAACATAGCCTATACCTCCAGGTACTTCTGGGCTCGTCCAAATTCCTTCTAACCCCAAACCTCTCTATCTATGCACAGCTGTGTAGACAAGGACGGGTCCTTGAGAGAACATCTTCGGACTGCTCCTGCCTGGAGCCCGCTGGGCTGCTCAGCTGGCACTGCAGCCCCAGTGGAAAGGTCGGTTGCCTTTTTGCCAGAATGAATTTGCAGTAGCTGTCTGCTTCCTTTTGGCAGACGATAGAGGGAAAGGATATCTTGTGGGCCACACTGCACTGCCCTGACTCTCACAACAACAGTGATCATCTTTCCTTCCCTTCCCATTAAATAATCATTGTCAATATGCATTTAAAATGTTTAGGTTGCCATCTACAATAGTCTTCGTAAAACGATTTTAATGAGATGTAAAACACTTCCCACATAATGGTAAATGGAAATAAAAGCAGAATACTGGAGAGGTCCTTTGCTTTATAAACAGTTTATATTTATGTATAGAAAAAGTACAGGAAGAAAATATATCACAATGGATCCCTTTAGGTGGTGGGATTAAAGGTAATTTTCTATTTTCTTCCTTAAACTTTTTGGTATTTTCTAAAAGACAATACACTTTTATAGGTGTGTATTACTTTTATAATCCAGCAAGGAAGGATGCTTTTCTATTTCCTAGGTTTTCTGCAATAGTAGGAACTGATTTTATGCATTGTCCAAAAGAAAACCAATACCGGGCTTCTATTTCTCTAGGTGACTTCTACGTGGATCCTTCTCTCAGTTGAATTTTCTACACAGGATACCTATTTTAGCTTTGACAAGGCTGTTCAGCTTGTGATCACTCTTCTTCTCTTTTTTTGTGTGATACTTGACAATATTTGGAAATAGCCCTATCAGAATCTTGAATCAAGGCACTGTATTTCTTTTTCCTGGTAACCAGGGCTGAGAGCTCCCAACAGAATTTTCCAAGTGTGAGGCCTCTGGAGCCTACCTGAGGCTGGACTGGCTCCAAGGAGACAGACATCGAGAGGATGCTGGCTTCGTGCGGCAAAGGTGTGATGATAAGAGCATTGATTTTGGAGTTGAGTGGCTCTAGAACTGCAGGGGCTTTTTTTTTCCTCTGCAAAACTGATAATCATATATCTTTTATCAAGTTGTTTTAGAGATTAAAGAAGACAATGTATGTTGGCCTAGCATAGTGCACACAGTAAATTATTAATATTAGTGGTGAGCACTGGAGAAGGCAGCTGAGGGGAAATCCCTCCCCACTGAAGCTTTCCAAAGTGTGTGGGGGGGTAGGGGTGGAAGTGGGGGAGCTGTCCAGATCTTAATGCTACCCTGACCAGGCTGGCCTCACCAAGGACACATCTTTGGTTTCACCATGGAAATATAACCACCACTTCTGGGTGGAAGATACGCAGTGCTAGCTACAGGCCAGCAGCCAAAAGCATGGGGTGAGGGGCAACCCTAGAATGTCCACAGATAATACTAAATATAAGATTCCATTACCACTCTGAAATCACCACATTAGTGATCCATCCAAACTGCCTCTTCCTCCACCCAGAGCCATTCTGCCCTTTAACTATTCATCAGGAAGTAATGAGTATGCCAGAGACTTACAGGAACTAAAGGAAATTATGCTGTACCTTATGAGGGGTTGAAATGTTCCATCTTTGCTACACTACTACTTTATTGTGCTGTTATTACTACTACTGCTATCAGCACCACCATTTCTACAACTGCTACCACCATTACTTTTAAGTTTGTGAACTACAGTTTTTTAAAGTGCCTGGGTGTTGCCTGATGAAAGACGATACTGGACATCGCATTATGGGAAACCAGAGGTAGGCTGGCCCTGGAAGCCTCAAAGGGAACAAAACAGATCTGCACTTAGGAATAGAGCAGAATTATCAATATTTTTTTTTCATCCTTCAACTGCCTAGACCCCAGGCACATTCCCAGCCACACCCAGTCAGGCTCCCAGCCCTACTCAGCTCCAGCTGTCCACAGCTAATTTAGGCGATTTCAAGAATGAGGGACTAGGGGTGATGAATGGCCTTTTGTTTGGTCACAGGAGCTGGAGCATGCCCAAATCCCACCAAATGGGGGGGGGGGGAGGAAGAGGAGAGAAGGCTTCTAACATGTAAGTCCATTGTGTCTGTCAGCCTCTCCCCCCTTCTCACAGGATGGCCCTGGGAAGACCCAGACTCCTCCTCCTTCAGGTTTTTAAAAATTTTCCTCTGCCAAAGTTAAATGTTGAGCAATGGTCGACTTCAGTCCCCCAAGTGAACTCTGGAATGTACACCTCGCCTTCCCATCCCAGCGGAAGGGTTCCCTTTCTCCTCATACCTAGCAGCCAGCTGGCCTGAGTGCCACACCACACGGAGTGAGAATGAGGCCGGGAGGAGAACGACAAACTATGAACTAGGCTCCCTTGGAGATCACTCTCTTCACCTGGCAACCGGGCCCCAGCAGAGCTCGGAAAGAAGAAAGTGGCATTTTGGAATCCATTTTGCCCAAGATGCTGAAGGCATTTTGGCAAACTGCGCTTTGCTACTGGGGCCAAGTGAACTTGGGGAAGGACCTCACCCATAGGGATGCGGTCAGTTAGGGGAAGGCGAGGGCCAGCTCTGGTACCAGTGGTACCCGTGGAGAGCAGTCACTGGGCATACCGTGGGCGCGGGTGTCCCACCCTGGCGCTGCTTCCCGCATTGGACTCAGGTTCGCTGGGGAGCGATAGTAGGTAACATTGGTCTCTGTCCAGTTATTTATAGGGGAGATTTATGAGGGATGCGGGGGAATGGACGCGGGATGACAATGAGTTTGAAAGGTGCAATGCTAAAAGTCACACTTTTCCCAAAGCGCCCCACCCCCACCCCAGGTCCTTTTTCCCAGAGCAACGCGGTCCCAGTGGGGCAGTGCGCGCCGCGGGCGCCGCGGGCGCCGCGGGGTCGGCTGTGACCTGAGGCCCGGGCCGCGGAATTGGGACCCGCGCAGGGCGGGAAGCGGGGAGGGCCGGGGAGGAGGGGCCGGGCGCGCCGCACGGCGCAGCTCACCTGCCAGGCTGTTGTAGCAGTCGATCTCGATGGCTTCCACGGTCTTGCTCTGCTCCTCCGAGAGGCGGCCGGGGTTGGGAGCCCCGGCGGGAGAGGCTGCACGCGAGTCCCGCTCCCGTTCCCCGGGGGCCGGCAGCAACCCCTTCAGCTCCAGCAACGCCCGGTGGTATTTACCGATGGCTTCACGGAATTTCTTGTCCTTGTAGCACTGCGACCCTTGGCTCTTGAACTCGTGCGCGCGCCGGATGAACTCGGCGGGCTCGGCCGCCGCCCCAGCCTGGCTCCGCGCTGGAGCCCCTCGTCCACCGCCCGGGACGCACAGCGGCGGCGGCGGCCGCTGGCCCTCGCCAGCCACCGGCAGGCTCGGGTTCCCCTTGGTCCCGGCCGCCGTGCCCTTCCTCTCCATTCGGCTGCCGCCCGGCGCCCCACGCGCGCGTCGCGATCCGCCCGCCGCCGCCGCCGCGCCCTCCCGGGTTTAAAAGCGGCGGGCGCCTGCCCGGCGTCTGGCGAGCTCGGCCGCGGCCGTGACACCCCGCGGCGGTCTGTCGCCCCGCACTCCCATTCTCCTCGCCTGCTGCGGGAGGCTGCTCGCTCTCTCCTCCTCCTCGGATTGCCTTCCCCTCCTTCTCTCCCTCCCTCCCTCCCCCACTCCCCGCGCCCCGCCCGCCCTCTCTTCGCCCTCCTTCCCTCCCGCAACCTGCGGGGGCGGGGACGTGGCCCTCCGGCGCTCTGGGCCCGCGGAGTGGGGGACCGCGGGCCTGAGTGGGGTGGTGGGGATGGTCCCTGACCCGGAAGAAGCTTGGCCCTCCCGAAAGAAGGGAGGATTAATGACAAAGGCGGCCCGGTTCTTTCCCATTCAACCCAGCCCTGGGAGGGAGACGCGTAGTCCGATAGAAACCAAAGGGGAAGGTGTGGTGGTGGTGGTGGTGGTGGTGGTGGTGGTGGTGGTGGTGGTGGTCGTGTGTGTGTGTTTAGGGAGGGGGGACGCCAGCGACAAAACGCAGGCAGACTCACCCTCAAGAGATTTCTTAGAAACTAAAAAGGTGCCGCGAGGACCAAGGGGCGTAGGCACAAGCCATAGCTGCTTGTTCTTTTCAACAAGGCTTTAATATTTTTAAGGTGGCAGGGCCTCTTTTCTGTGAATCCAGGTGGTTGCCGAGGTGTGTGGCCGCCTGAGCGCCCAGAACGCAGTGCGTTTCGGCCTGCGGGGCGCCGTACTCCAGGAGCCGCCGGGTGCTGACACCGCGGTGTGCAGGCAGCTGTGCAGGATGAGTCACAGACAGCAGAGAGGGCGACACACCTGTTACTGTCGGTCAGCAGGCTCGGCGTTCAAATGTTCCAGTTTCCATTTACAGGAGGGCTCTGTGCCCTTCCCCAGGATGCCATTCCTTCCTTTATTCATTTTTTAAAAATAATTTTATTTTTAGAGAGAGGGGAAGGGAGTGAGAAAGGGAGGGAGAGAAACCGTTGTGGGAGAGATTCTGTACATCAGTTGCCTCTCGCACGCCCCCAACTGGGGATCTGGCCAGCAACCCAGGCAAGTGCCCTGACTGGGAATCCTACCGGCGGTAGGATGTTGCTCAATCCACTGAGCCACACCAACCAGGGTGCTTCATTCATTCTTAGGTCCGCCTTGAGTGCCAGCTGCCTGCCAGGGATCTGTTGAGACCAAAGGGCAAAGATAGGCAAGTGACTGCCCTGCTCTCAGTTAAGTACTGGTGGAGAGAGACATCACCCACCCCTGGAGTCACTGCCAGGTAGTTTGGTATTACCAGGGAGGAACAAAAAGTACTGTGGAGCTATGATGAGGAGAAAGAGAGGTGGCTTTTTTCAGGGGTGGATCGGAAGGGTTTATGAAGGAAAAGGCTTGGAAGGATGGGTGGTAGAATATGGGCGTGAGGAAATAGAAGGACCTGACATACCAGCCAGAGAGAAGAAATAGAGCAGAAGTTCTGATGTTGGAAATCTCCAGTGTGTTTAGGGCAGAGCAGTTAGAGTTTGTGGCCTAAACAGAGGCAGTGGGAAATGAGTGGGTTAGATCATAGAGGCATTTGGATGAAGAGCATGTTTTATTTTGTAAGGGATGGAGAAGCCTGACCTTTTCTTAGTGCTTCCTCCACTCTTTTATGATGTAACACACACACACACACACACACACACACACACACACACATTCTGAAGCAGTGGTCTTCAAAGGGTGGTTTCCACACCTGCAGCATCAGCATCACCTGGAAAACTGTCTGAAATGTGCATTCGAGGGCCCTGCTCCAGCTCTATTAAAATCAGAAACTCTGGGGATGGGGTCCAGCACCTGTACTTTAACAAATCCTCTGGTTGGTTCAGTTGCACACACAAGTTTGAGAGCCCCTGGTCCAAAACCTGGCTACTCATAAAGTGTAGGCCTTGGACCAAGCATCAGCACCATCCAGAAGCCTGTTAGAGAGGCAGAATCTGTAAAGTCCCAGACCTACTGACCTACAATCTACAGTTTAACAAGATCACTGCGTGATTCCTATGCCTATTTGAGTATGAGAAGCACTGCTCCAAAGGATTTGCAAAGTGTGGCAGTGGGCAAAACCCCCAACCCTACTCTGTCACCCAGATCTAGTCCTTGGTAATGTTTTGATGTGATTCCTATGGGTTTTCTACACATCTATGTTGGTACCAAGACCTCTTGTAATAAGTATGAGTGGTATCAGACAATATATACAATTGCCCAGTCTTTTTTATTTTACATTGTATGTGATTAGTCTCTTAAAGTCTCATTTTTAATGGCTTTATACTATTCATTTTATGTCTGTTTCATAGAGTACTGAACCATTTTCCTATGGTCAAATTAATTCCAATTATTTGCTATTATATAAAATACTGAAATAATAAAAATAATAGATACCATTTCTATCTAGTGCTTACTTTGTGCCTGGCGGTGGGTTAAGCACTTTGCATATAATAATTCTTTTAACTCATAACAACCCAGTGAAAAAGCATTATTATTATCCCCATTTTCAAAAGCAGCTCACAGAGACTTGTCCAAGTTCACATTGGTAATAAGTAGTAGAGCTGGGATTTAAATGCAAGCAAACTGCTTTCAGAATCTATATAAAATTTATATATATATATACACACACACACATATATAGTTGTTAAAGTACAGTTTTCTGCCTTTTACCCCCATTCCAGCCCACTCCCCCCAGCCCTCCTGACCTCCCTCCCATTTCCACCCCCCCCTTGTTTTGGTCCACGTGTCCTTTATTTTTGTTCCTGCAAACCCTTCCCCTTTTACCTAAAATTCCCTTCCCTCTCCCCTCTGGTCACTGTCAGCCTGTTCTCAATTTCAGTGTCTTTGGTTATAATTTGTTTGTTTGTTTTGTTGATTAGGTTCCTGTTAAAGGTGAGATTATATGCTATTTGTCTTTCACGGCCTGGCTTATTTTGCTTAGCATAATGCTCTCCAGTTCCATCCATGCTGTCATAAAGGGTAGGAGCTCCTTCTTTCTTTCTGCTGCATAGAATTCCGTTGTGTAAATGTACCATAGTTTTTGGATCTATTCATTTACGGATGGGCACCTAGGTTGCTTCCAGCACTTGGCTATTGTAAATTGTGCTGCTATGAACATTGGGGTGCATAGGTTCTTTTGGGTTGGTGTTTCAGAGTTCCTAGGGTATACTCCTAGCAGTGGAATTGCTGGGTCAAAAGGCAGATCCATTTTTAGTTTTCTGAGAAAATTTCATACTGTTTTCCATCTTAACTATATTTGTACTTCATTTTTGTCCTAATTATTTTTGCTTACGAGAAATCCTGATGTTGATTTTTAAAATGTCTTGAAACTTGTCGTCCCTTTGCTTTTCAGAAAGGCTGTACTAACGTGTGCTCCCACCAGCAATGTACTAGTTTCACAACATCCTTGCCAACACTGAGGGTTAAACTTTAAAAACTATTTTCTAACTCAATAAATGAGAACTCTATATGAAATGAACTAGGATCTCTTTAATTATAGGAGAGAAAATTTTTCACATGTAAATTGGGCATTTATGTAGTACTGAGGGCCTTTATTTGGACACAATCTTAATGTACTAAATGATACCTTATATATCACAGCACCTTCTTTTCCTTGGTGCTTGAACATCTTTACTCTCATTTCATCTTCGTGTTAGCCCCAGAGGAGAGGAAAATGCTCCTGTGTTCACACAGTGGTTTCTGGCCAGTGAGCCATGAGGCCACTCCAGCAGTTAAGAGGCTCTGGGCTCAGACAGCTGTGGGCTGGAATTCTATCTTTGCTGCTTCCTAGGCAAGTTATTCAACTTCTGAAAACTTCAAATTTCCTCCCTCATTAAACGCAATGCTACTCACTTCATAGAGGTGTTGTGAAGTACACAGTAAGTGCTGAACAGATGGTAAGTTTAATTATTACTCATTAAATCCTGTCATTATTGGATCCTATAAAAATCTTATGGCAGACTCTGTTAGTTCATATTTGCCAATCCCTGGACTTTTTTTTTTTCTTTCTTTTTCGCTTTAAGGTATTGTATCAGGTAGAGGAAAGAGAAGACACTGGGGATTGGGTGCTGTGAGTTTTTACCATTAACTTCCTACTCAGGCAGGAAGAGCTACTGAAGGTAAATATTGGACGAAGGTCCAGACGTGGGATTTGGCTACTGTCAGCAGTGAGACACAAATTGGGTCATGATGATCATACCTGTTTAAACATGAGAAATACCAACGTGCCGAGTTGCTTTTCATTTTCCTGTTCTGTGCTGGCTTAATGATACAGTATCTCACACTTAGATTTTGGTTTTGGGGTCAGGGCTGCAAGAGACATGTAATCCACATGGTCCTTTCCTGTATGTGAAACATAGCTCAACATGAGAGCTTAATACTAGCTTGGATGAAGGAGTGCACGAGCGAGGAAGGGAGGGGATATTACAGGCAGAGGGATGGAGTGAGAGGAGACTTACTATGCCCATCTGTCCTGCTCAGCACAGCTGTGTGTGTATGCCTAGCACTGTTTCGTTTGCTTGTTTTTAGTATGTTTCTGTCTCTGCCTAAGCCACTTGTTGATAAATGTGTACTGGTTTCTCAGAAATTGTTTCCTTCCTTCAAATGTGATTAAGTAGGTGCCAAAGAGAATTTCTCAAATATCCTGTTGTTAACCATTGACCATATGCAGAGTACTATTTTGGGAAGTGAGCAAAGATCCAACTGACAGACAGTTTGGGCGTGGAGTTAGGATTCAGAAACTCAGTGCTCCTTAAACTTTAAGAGGCATAGGAATCCCAATCGTATCACCACGCAACTCCCTGATTCCATTAATGTAGGGCAGGGCCCAAGGCTGTGCATTTCTCACACACTACCAGGTGATGCTGGTACTGCTGGTCCATGGTCCACATTTTGAAGAGCAAGTATTTAGATGAAAGAGAAATTCCATCTGCCCCCTTCTCTCCTGGCCATTGTCTTCCCCCAGAGGACTTGTTCTTTAGGTTGGTCAGATTCCAGGAAATTAATCCGTCCACACCTAAAGGGCAGGGGTATAAACCTGCAGGCAGCCTCCTCTTCCACTGCAGGCAGTGGGAATAGGTATGCTAAGCCCAGGGCTCCCCCTGGGAGCTGGCCATCT